AACGCTCGTCGCACCACCGCTGGAACGGATGCCCACTCGAAGGTGATGACCTTGTCGTCACCAGATTTGATCGTAGCCTGAAGCACATGTTCAATGCTAATTAGCTTGTGTCTTCTTAGTTAATGCATAGGAAAACCATATAATAATCACTTTGTATTTCATTTTCTGTGAAACTCCTCCTTTAGGTGCAGAACCGCCTGCAGTTTGCTTCGCATTAGCATGAAGGTACTGAGCCAGCAGTTGTGCAATGCGATCAAAGCTTAAAAAAACGTTCTAAGAATATAGTTCAGACTACGCTGAAAATGCTAGAAAATTTCAGGACTCACGCATTTGCGGCGTTTACACATGTATTTGGATCGAGCGGATCTCTCGTCATTCCGTATGGGCAAGCACAATAGTGGCCACCAGGAGTGTTCACACAACCATGAGAACAACCGCCATTTCCAACTGCGCATTCATCAATGTCTAGAAAGGTGAACATTTGTGATTTCAAGGTTGCTCTGCCAAAGATTGAGGCTAATTCAAAAAAGAGCTTTTCTTTGGGTTAAGGCGAAGACGTGAATACACCAATGCAATACGTCACTTGATTTTGTACTTTTGATTGGCGGAAATTGCTTATTTCGAATCTTTGAACTTGGAAATTCGTAGCGACGACCGAGGTTGAGCATAACTTCCAAGCAGAAAATATTTTGTTATGCATTACGCTGCCAAGGAGTAAATTTCTATAAAAACATGCTGGTGAGGGAATTCTCAAAACCATTTCAGACGGATTCTTAAATCTGCTCATAACTCGTAGGCATTATCGTGCCAATTTACTCTGAGGATAGTGTGCATTCGTATCTACCTGTAGCCGCCGTATAAAAATGCATTGCATTACTAAGTGGTGATTATCATAACTGCAAATCAAGATTTTGACCCTAGGGGTATTCGCAGCAACATGCTACCATGCGGAATGCGACATTCATGATCATCATGTCAAGTAACCCCCCTGGGCAAGTATATATAAAATTTTGAGATTTTTCGGGTGGTTAGAGAAAATGGAATACTACCGACTTTTTTATTTTGTATCATAGCGTTAGTTTGCTACAGCAAATAGACATTTACCTCTCTAGAGCATCTGTCATCGTGAATCTTTTCCTTTTCTATTCTAGTCAAATCACGGTTAACGGTAGTCACAGTGCTCACATTTTTTCTTGATATAGAATGTCGGATCTCAATCAGATGAACCATATTAGATTCTGCTACATTTTCTCTTCTATTTGTTTCGGTAGAATTTCAGAATAATCCCAAAAGTAATGTTTGAGAACAAGATTTTGTTGCTTAAGAAAAGTGTT